TATAATCAACAGGAATAACAGGTATTCCTCGACACATTAACCAGTAAATGGACACATGAAAACAACCCCTATTAACCCTACAGGACCCGATCCCTGCCGAGCCATGGGAAGGAGTGAAAAACGGCTCCTCCATCTCTCCCGGTTGTCCTCAACTCGGCTTCTTTGCCTCCACGGAACTCTTGGGTTCCGAAGACTGCTTGTACCTGAATGTCTTTACTCCGCAGGTGAATGCTAAGGTGGTTTAAAGTGATTTAAAGTGCTTCAAGGAGGTGTGAGGGGTTTGGGGTGGTTCAAGGAGAGGTTTATTGTGATTTAAGGTGGTTCATGGTGGTTTAAGGTTATAAGGAATAATGTTTATATGGGTATCGAGTCATTATGTAAACGCAAAATAGGGTGTCTGCTGGAGATGGACGGTGTCATGGAGGCACAGTGCCTTTATGACAGTATTACTTGGAGCGTTATTCGGCCATGTTACATTCAATGTTATTGAAGTGTTATTCGGCCATGTTACATTCATCCAATCATCACCAGTCTCTCATGTTTATCTCTATCTCTCTACGACCCCTCTATGGTCCTTTTACCTTGTATTTTCGACCACGCAGTTACCAAAGGGCGCTGGCGACGACGGTCTGCCTGTTATGGTGTACATCCACGGAGGCGCCTTCATCGGCGGGTCCGCTGACTTCTGTCGGCCGAATATCTTACTAGACGGAGATGTTGTTGTGGTTACTATCCAATATCGTCTTGGCACTCTGGGTGAGAATGGGCGTTGGGTGAATGAAATTGCTATTGGTAAGGTTGGTATTGGCATTGTTTAAAAAAACGGTGGGTGATCATTGTGATTGAATAGTATCGAGTGTTATGATTTTTATCATTGTTATTATTGTTATAGTTTTTATCATTACTACTACTACTACTATTGTTGTTGCTGCTACAGTAACTTCTACTGATTGTAATAATAAAGATAATATAATCATTAGCATCGTAATTATTATGAATATTTTCTATCAAAGTTTATTACATAAAATCAATGACATATTCCATCGCATCTCTAGGATTCCTCTCCACCGAGGACGAAGTGATCCCTGGGAACTACGGGCTCAAGGACCAGTCGCTCGCCCTCCGCTGGGTGCAGAGGAACATCCGCCACTTCGCCGGAGACCCGAACCAGGTCACGCTCTTCGGGCTCAGCGCAGGAGGAGCATCCGTTCACTACCAGATCCTGTCGCCGTACAGTGAGGGTGAGAATGCTTGCGATCTGGGGTAAAAAGGGAACTAAATCGAGAGAAGAAAAAAAACATAGTCTAACTTTACTTTACCGCATATGCTGTCCATGGCACTATTTAAGGCTGTGATTTTCAAACTATGGGTCATTGTCGACATCACATAATTCAGAAGGGCAGACGAGTACTTGGATATGCCAAAAGTGGGCCAGGGAGTCCTGAAGTTTGAAAACCACTCGTTTAGAGCCAACGGGACAGCTGTTAAAGGGAGTCAAGAGCAGCACGTTAGGAAGCCAAATTCAGAATAATAACATTTCCCCATTTTCTCGTCTCATTTCAAGGACTCTTCCACCGGGCGATCATGCAGTCGGGGACGGCGCTTTGTCCGTGGGCGACGGGTGGCTCCTTCAGGGACGTAGCGCTGTACACGGGGGCCTTAGCTGGCTGCCCCGCCGCCGACAGTCAGCAGCTACTGGAGTGCCTGCAGGACGCCGACGTAGAGGTTTTGGTCAGCGTCGTGTGGAAGCTCATGGTGAGTTTTTCTATTCAGAGTTTTATTTTTATTATTGTGTGTATTTCTTCAGTAACTAATTTATTATTTACTGTATCACTGCATCATTATTTTACATCTATTATTTTCCTTACTATCATTAACCAGCACTATGCAATGAAAATGCATGAATGATAATGAATATCTTCACAGTACTGGAGATGTATTTAGCCTTTTTCGATTATATCTTTGAGAGAAATACATTTCGAAACCGGTCAAATACTTAGATGTTCATTCTTTCTTACACCTTTTCTGCAGTAGTGGAAATAAATACAGTTAAGTAATATACAATCAATATTTGTTTGTCAATTATTACGTAACGATAATTGTTACATAATATTAGTAATTAACCATACAAATTCTTCCAGGCGTTTCACATCAACCCCATAATCTTGGGACCGCGCGTGGACAAAGATTTCGTCCCGGATAACCCTTATAGACTAGTGAAGGAGGGGCGTCACCAACACATCGATGTCATTTCGGGGGTGACGGCGCACGAGGGAAGTCTCTTCTCTATAGGTAATTGCAGATTTAGCTTCAGATTCGAATTGTAGGAGGTTTAGTGATGTATGGTGACGATGGGACATCATATGATTTATGATTTAAAGGGAAAAGGAGGGTTTTATGTGATGTGAGAATCTCATGAACGGATAAATATGATAGTGTATATGCGAAGGAAGGATTGATTAAAAAAATATATTTTCAGGGCAGTAGATTGAAGTTCGAAATACTCCCTGAGTACAATTACAGGAAGATATCCAGCTCTACATGTTCAGTGTTCATATCCCACATCTTTCGAGCACACATTGTCCTACAGATCCTTACGTTTTTGTTTGCCCCCGTTTAAGCTTTCCCGAGAGACGAATGATAAACAAATCTCCCCCGAAGGTATATACAGAAATGAGGAGATTCTGGAGGACTTCAGCAAGAACTTCGCCGTCAAAGGACCCATCATGCTCGAGTTCAGAGAAGGGGACGTCGATCTGCTCGCCACCAGTGAAAAGATCTTCCGACACTATGCAGGCACAACGCATATCACCCTCTCTCATGCAGAGGAAGTTAACGAGGTGAGTTGTGCGTAAGTGTTTTGGGGAAATTATAGAAGACGTAAGTAATCAATTACCTATATCGGTTATAGAATCAACGAGATGTTAAGGGAGCATAAAATGTAATGGAAGGGGACCTGTTATTTTGTCTTGTTTCTATTTCATTTGTATGGTCGGCATCATGACCTAACATCATTAGACGTCAAATAAACAAAGAATGTTACAGATAGGAATCTATCAAGTGCTTCCTTTGTTCGCAGATGTTGGGTGATCGTCACTTCCGTCTGCCACACGACATCACCACTGAGTACCTCGTCCGCGGCAACACTTCGATCAATGTCTATACTTACAAATTCACACATCGAGGGGAGTTCACAATGCCTATATTCCCGTCACTGCTCAGCGATAAACAGTGTAAGTCGGATACTTTATATTTAAATGAAACAATAAATGTCCTTTTAACAGCCAATCAGTATGTGAATAACGACTGTAATACCACTTTAAATGCGATATTCCTATGTGTGGTTCTCAGGGGTGGGTCACGGACACGACATGGCGTACCACTTCTCCGGGTGGCTGCCTCCTAGCGACCCGTCTCACGTAGACCAAAAGATGAGGGACATAATGGTGAAGCTGTGGGTCAACTTCGCCACCACTGGGTACTGGTTCTAAATCTCAGTTGTCTGGGAGTACTGTGCTGGAAGTAAGGACTTTAGTGCAATTAGCTATTGGCATGTGTGAATAGAAGGCATGGGTAACATCATCTTCTGAAGATAAATAGGTTCTACCTACCGTCACGTTCTAAAGTTAAGTTAATAATAACGAAAAAAAACAGACGGAGACATGTTTTTTACACCAAATTTAGCCTTTATCACACACCTACACACACACACACACACACACACACACACACACACACACACACACATACACACACACACACACACACACACACACACATATGTATATATATATGTATATATATATATATATATATATATATATATATATATATATATATATATATATATATATATAAGGAGAATGATAATGAAAAATAAAGCAGAGAAACATAAGTATCATCTTCACACAGGAACCCGACGCCTGATGACAGCTTGGGCTTCACGTGGGACCCTACGACCCAGGAGACAAGACATCATCGCCTGAACCTCAATACTAATCCTGTTATGGAGGAGGAAAGCCGGAAGGAGGTAAAAGGGATTCGTTGTGGTCTGTTTGAATTGAATTTTGTGTTTGGATTTTGGATGTATGTACGCATGTTTCTGATGTGTCTATCTATCTACATATCTGGCTCTCTGCCTGTCTGTCTTTCTGTCCCTCTCCATTTGTAGCTATTTTTCTGTCTATCAATCTGTCTACAGCTTATCTATCTTTTTATCTATATATGTGAGTATATGCATGCATGATTATATGTAGGTATGTACGATTATATCTATGTATTATTTGCATGCAATAGTATGTTTTGTTTTCCGTTACACCCCTTTGCTCACCGGAACTCCCCTGCAGGTCTTAGATTTTTGGGCGACACTTCCGTTGTTGGAGAACGTCATTCTGGACCCTGGGAAAGTCACCGATCTCGGACGCTATTGGCTGGAATTGACCAATCAGAGACCTCAGTCGCTAGTCAGATCGGAGAACGAGGCACCCACGAAGCCAACCAAACATCGCGCTCGAGATGAGCTCTGAAGGGCACGCATTTCATTTCTGGATTAATTTTTAAAAAATGAAGAGTAGTTTGCTAGATTCTATATAAACAATTTCCAGAATAAATACGCGAGTGAGATTTTGTTGTTTCTTTTCCCGCATTGATTATTTTCTAGGCGAAGTAGGTTCTTATCGTGATTATCGACATCGAGATAAGGACTGGAGATTGAATGTTCCAAAGCTCTTAGGTTTACAGAAGTGTGCTTATTGTCTTTATCAAAGTCAAGTTTAAAAAGCTACAAATGTCAAGTACATACAACTCACTCGCACATCACACTCACTCGCATCACACTCACACTCACTCTCACACTCACACTCACTCTCACACTCATGCTCACTCTCACACTCACTCACACTCACGCACTCACCCTCACACCCTCACCCTCACACCCTCACTCTATGAAAAAAAAAAAAAAAAAATCGCGCATATA